GCGGTGGCGCGCAAAGCTGTACGCGGGGTACGAGGCGCTGCTGGCGAGCGAGGCCGACTCGTCGTGGTGGGTTGGGGGCAATATACCCGGCAAGACGCGCGAGCCGCTGACGTGGTTCTCGGGGTTGCCCGCGTGGCGGAAAGAGTGCGAGGAGAGTCTGAGGACGTGGGATGATTTTGAACTGGTCAAGAGGGCGGCCAAGCTGTAGTAATTTTTCATGTATAGGAGAAGCAGTGAGCAAGATTGTGAGCAAGAAAGGAAAGAGACATTGCAGCATCAGAAGCGGGTTAGGTTACTTGCCTTTGTGTCTGCTCGTTTCTCTTCACATGGGTAGGCCATCTTTTTTGGCCAGTTTATTTTTGTTCCGAGTCTTGTGTGCAAAGTGCAATCGAAGAAAAAATCACAATGTAGTTCAAGTCGAGCAACCAGAATGGCCCAATGTAAAAAGGGGGAATCAAATTCATAAACCATGTCAGAAATATCTATGACCTCTTTTACGCCCAAATTCCATGTGCGGACCAAACCCAGTATGAAACAAGACCGAGTTGTAAAATTTTTTTAGTTTTCCATTTTTATGCCTTTCAACTTTGCTACCATCTCCATGATTTTTCTTTTCTCATTGAGAAGCTCTGGCAGTAAAAGTTTTACTCGTCATCCTCATCCTCCTCGTCAGCCTCGGCGGTGGTCTGGGCGATACGGTCCAAATCACGCTGGCCGGCCTGGGTGATGCGGCGGCCGCCCTTGTCGTCGTCCTGCTCGAGGACGCCAATCTTCTCGAGGGCCTGCATGACCTTGCGGTCGACGGAGCCGGAGGCGTCGACGTGCTTGGAGGGGCGGGAGCCGCGGTTCTTGGCGGTGCCGTGGACCTTGCGGAGGCGGCCGACGCCGACCGTCTTGCGGAGGTAGACGTGGCGGGCGACCGAGGCGGCGCGCACGTAGAACCAGTCAATGTCCTGGGGGGGCAGCTCCTTGGAGGGGCCGGTCTTGACGGTGTCGACCCAACCTGCAAAGTGTCACGTTAGCAATGTCGATACTTTTTATTTTTCCAGTTACGGGTGTGGTGCCTAAAGCGAGAAGAAAACATACCAGGGATGGGCAGCTTGCCCTGACGCTTCAGGAAAGCAGCATAAGCAGCAATAAACTTTTGCGCCTGAACGAGAGAAAATGAAACCCATTAGCAAATATTCCGTCTTCAGAAGTCTTGCGACTCCCTCGCGCCTGCTCCTCAAAAAATCCCAAAAGAATATCGTATATCGGCAGAATGTGCTGTAAACGGCTCCGCATCTCTGTATTTCAAGTCGATGGGAGTCGGCAGTCCGCTCCAGGACATCGGTCATGGACAAGGAGATCGGAGGGCGTGAGCAAGGCGCGGCAAGGATAAGCGGCAGTCAAGTCAAGCGGCAATAGACGGTCAGCGCCAATATTTACATGGCAGCATTCGTCTTGCACAGCAAGCCTCCATTGTCAATCGCCATCCATTTGCAAGCGCTTCCGTCAACACCAGCTCTGCCATTCGCGTTTGATACACCAGGATTCGTTTTCCCCACGACTGTGATATAGACATGATTTGGTTCTTGTTTCGTCTTCTGTCGTCGGTTCGAGGGACGGGCCGTTCGAGAATTACAGCGAAGAGGTGCGCAGCATCACGAGGGAGTCGGTACAGCACGCTATGCAGAGCAGCATTGTATGTTCGCTTAGGTCTTTCGACCATCGCAAGACAATGGGCTCGCAAATTGGCGGAAAACAATTCAAGGAGTACCTACATCAACGTCGCGAACAGTAACGCCGCCAGCCATTTTGTCGGAGGTTTGAGGGGGTGAGATGGGGGGATTAGGTCGGTATGAAGCGGTTGGAGTGGTTGGAGTGGGAGGAGAGGCGCAATGAGGAGCTTTCGCGATAGTAGTGACGGGCCCTGACACTTTTTTTTTTCGGCGCTAGGGTTTGTGGCCCTAGCAAGTGTATTTGGAGTGGGGGAAGCGAGGCGATGACTAAGATACAGTGCATTCGCGCACTGTCAAGCAATAAACACAGTACGTGAGGGTAATATGTGGGTCTGGGTATAGCACGGCTCCAATCCGTTCGGGTTGGCTTGTTCGACCATCGGCTTACAAGATTGCTGAGGGTCATGTTTGGCACGCGAGAAGAATTCAGAGATTCAAGATAGCATCATGATGAGTTTTAAATACTTCTATGCAGTTCTAATGCGCTAATTCAACATCCAATAACAGTGAACCTCCCAACCCATGCCCCTTTCCTCAGTCCATGGTATATTAATTCGCACGCAAGAAAGCAAGTTTCCAATGGTAATCAATCGCACATAACTATGTACCAAAGTGCACTATTGAAAAGGATATGTTCGAGCGGATATCCACCTATGCCCAATTGGCAAGCAGCGCCATGACAAAAGCACCGAAAGCGATACAGCCAAAGCCGAAGAGCTGAATCTTGAGCGGGGAGCGACGCATGTGGGGGTTGAACATGAACTCGTGAGCAAGAAGCTCAACGAGACCAGTGTACATGAGAATACCGCCACTGATGGCATCAAAGATACCGTTGGTGAGCTTCTGGTCGGTGGCATTGGCAGGCTTGGCACCCATGCCAGCGGCGATGCCCACGGGTGTAGAGAGTGCAAAGCCCACACAGAGGACGTAAGGCAGCCACTGCTTGGATTTGGGCCAAGGGGCGGTAGCAATACGGGATCCGAGACCAAGACCCTCAAACATTTGGTGGAAGACGAGGACAATGAGAAGAATGACAAGGTTGTCGGTGGTGCCAAGAGTCAGACCAACAAACACGCTGTGGAAGATGACACCGAACTCAAGTACAAAAATGGCAGTGAGCTGGCCGGCAAGACCGCCCTCACCTTCTTCGTGAGTGCGAGCGTGTGCAAGATGATCCTCACCCCCAGGAGGGTAACTGACATCGTCGGGACGGCCGGGGATGCTCTTGGGGTCGATGCCAGCGGCTTGCTCCAGATCAGGGCTATGAGGGCAATCCTCCGGCGCGGTGTTGATGCCGGGGCGCTTCTTGGCAATATAATCCAGCGAAGGGCCCTCGCTATCGGAAGCGTTGCCAGTGTTGTGTTCGTCATCCTTCTGGAAGCTGGTGACGAGAAGTTCGACGAGGAACATGGTCATGACGGTCATGAGACCGATGGCAAGAGCCCAAGGATAGTCGGGGACACGAGCAGCAACACATTCGTCGCTGAGGTTGTCAATGGCGGGATCAAGCAAGTGCATCCATGCAGTGGCGATAATAACACCTGTACCGACATATTTGCAGACGAAAAAGGTGAACTTGGGAACGTGCATGCGTGTCTGGCGAGCCAAAAGGACGGGGGCTAGGGCACCAATGAGAGATGCAACCAAGATGATGAAGATGGAACCGATACGGAGGCCGCGGCGGGTGTCGTCGGCGATCTCGCCGTTGCAGTCCATGGGAGCATCGGTGTCGGCCATGATGATATAGTGCTGTGTGGTGTATTCCCTTGTATGTGGATATAACGATGTCGATATGAAACTGCGAGGAAGATCCTCTTCGGGTACTATACTTGGCAAGGAAGAATAGCAGCAGGCCGCAGGGAGTACTATTGTTTATTATAGCTGGCCCAAAAAGATAGGCTTGGGAGAGTGTGGGCGGGAATGTGTGGAGGAAGGAAGGGGGGAGGGGACGACCGGGCAAGGCGACCAGGGCGGATAAGGCGCGAGCTGCAAAATCTTGCAGGTTTCTCAGCTCAAACACCTTGATGTCCGCAGTTGACGGCAGTTGACGACGGATCAGTTCCACCTGACCAGGTTACCGGGAGAAATGTGTCTGTAAAGCCACGCGACGGAGGGCAAAAGTGGTTCGTCGGCCGAATGACTGGAGTGGAAATCCGGCTCAAAGATGCCGTGCAGACTTGGCAAATCGACTTGGCAACGGCGATGCGTCGGAAATGCAGGATCCTGCGCCAATACCGCGTATGCAAGATTGCGAATGTGCCAAGACAATCGTTTGCGAGTACGATTGTGTGATGAGGCTGCGCAGCACAGGGATGAGAGGCAGGGTTAGACGACTTGCTTTACTTGGCGCTTGATTCTTGAGATGTCGTCTGCAAAGCGTAGGCAATCGTGATTTCAGGCGAGAGACAGGTAGTTGGACGTGGAACCGGTGAAGGAACTATTCAGAGTAGCGCAGTGGGTGGGATATAACCGACGGGTTGAAGCGCGGATTGGTGGACGCGGTGGTAGAACACGCCCGGGGTGAGAAACAAGGAAGATGAAGAGAGAAGAGAAGAATATGCAAAGACTTGAAAATGGAAAAATGCCGAGGTGATGAGTGGCAGCGGCTGATAAGCGGGATGGAGTGAGCAGAGAGAAAGTGATAGCTATGGGGGCCGCAGAGAAGAATGATACTACCTATACCCAAAGCAGCTGTCGAGTTGGTGGCCGAGTTGTCAACGGGCAGCAAGGGTGCGGGATCTGGCCGGGCTATGTATGTGAGAACCTGGATGGCCACCCACCTTTTTTTTTTCTGCGTTCGGCGCTATTGAGTCGAGCAACAGCCAACAAAGCTATACGATTCAGGGCGTGGCATATGGCATGAGGGACAGCATTAAGTTGTGTTTTGTTTTGTTTTGTTTTTTCGGCTTTACGAAAAAGCGCATAATGAATAATGCTCATGTCTTTAGAGTTGGACAGAAACGGTGCTGTCGTGAAACGTGGGGTGTTTGTCGACGACTCGCTCGTTATGCAGAGGCCAGGTAGACCCCTGCGATCCTGGTGGTCGAAAGAGCCTCTGGCCATGCAGACTTTCGGCATGCGAACATGTGGTCAACGTCCTGCGAGTTTCCATAATATTATGCAACTTGATATCGGACAAATTCCCATATCATCATGCAACTTAATATCAGACAACGTTACTCTGTACGATAGCTTTAACTCTTAACTTACATGCAACCATCTTCTTATGCTGATCCCTAATGCGTGTTCCTTGCCAAGTGCGGTAGATAATGCAGTCGCCAAAGGAGTTTCTCGGCGCGAGTAATACAACACATCCCTCGTCATGACCGCGCAACTTGGGCTCTTTGGAATTCCTGTTATTACCAGGAACCGGCACAGACGATTATTGACTCGAGAAAGACACCAAGACAAAAACGTCCAGGGATTGGCCTTGTCTTGGCGGGGTCCCGAGCGCCACGCTTTTTCGTTGCAGCCCCGCATCTCCACTTTGAATGCACCAGTGGCGCATAGAAGCAGCCACTCATAGCATCTGCAAAGGCCAGAATTGGCCATCCAGGTTCTCACCTCTAACTAGGCAAGCCCTTGCCAAACAAATAGAAACGGGTTTTCGTTATCAGCAACATGCCCGCCTGCGACGGCCGCAGAAATTCGGTCAATTTTTGGTCAGCAGCGGGAAAGATTTTAGTGTAATCTTCTTTCTTCCGTCGTCGTATGCGCGGTTAACCGGCCCCGCGTGATGGCGTCAATTCCAAATTTTCCATCACCACGGAGGAAAACGACGGAGGTAGCGAGATGAAGCATCGTCGTTCGCTTAAGATTGCTCTATATTCATTACTGGGTGGTTTAAAAAGATGTACATGAAGGTTCCTGGTTCGGCGACAGTCCGACCCTTCCCCTACTAGATAAAAGGGCTCTTAAGACACGGCCGACGCCTTGTTGCGCCACCTAGCAAACAAGGACGCACAAGGTATTCATAGCCTCAGCTGAAGAGCTGACCTTGTCAATAGTCAGCACTGGTACGGATACAGGCAACTCGATACAGGCAACTCGATACAGGCAACTCGATACAGGCAAAACAACCGTCAAGAGACGAAAGAACGCCCGCTCTTGTAGCTGTTGTACAAGATATGTTATGCGCATCTCGCGTGAAAGTGCCCAACTTGTCGCTCCTGCGCGTTCTTGCTTGCCGATTTGAGCTCAGCGCGCAGACTGAACAGGCTCTTTGGCTTCCGCTGCGACGCGACTGCTACAAGCGTAATCATACACTCGAATCGTTTGGGTTCCGTCAAGACGAAAATTGAATTTCTAGCCCCAGCGTGCGGAAGGGCTTGTCCATGTGTCGCAGATCGATGCCACTTCCCAGGCTAAACAGCAGCGACTTGACGCGGCCCTCCCACAGCAGCCCGATGCGCAGGTTCTGGTCGAAGCGCGCCTTCAGCACCCCCGCGTACTCTTCCTCCTGCGCTTTCCATCCCGGTTGGTGAAGCTCCTTCGCCTCATCCACGACCGTCCTTTGGCTTTGCTTCCGCCGCCGCTGCTGCCACCCTGCAGAGGGAGGGCTCCCTGATGCCGCAGCATTCTCTGCGTCGGCACGGTCAGCAAGCAGCCTCTGCCCGTCGGCTTCGGCGGCTTGATGGGGGTTCGCGTCGTCTAGGCGCCACTCCATTTTGGCTCTGAAGCTGCGCTCCCGCGCGCAAGAGGCCGGGGTTGGGGACGGCGATAGTGACGAGTCGTTTTCCTCCGATGGTGGCCGTGTGAAGGGTTTGCGCCACAGCTCCATGCCGACGGCCCATGCGCTCTCGTAGCTAAACACGTTGAATTCCATGCGCGTCGCCAATGTGCAGTGCCGCCCCGCGACGACGGCGTAGCTCGCGCCCACGCTGCCCATGAGCGGGTTGAGCGTCAGCGTCGCCGTCAGCGGCGTGCCCCGGTGGGACGGCAGCGTCGCGAAGCGCGTGGCCAGGCTAATGCCGCCCGACTTGTTGAGCGTCCCGTAGTAAATTTCGGCGCCTGTACTGAAGCGTCCGTAGATGCGCTCCTTTTCGCCGTTGGGCGGCTGCGCCTTCGGGGTCGCAGTGATGCCAATCATTGCCGATTGTTGCTCGCCGGTCCCATCCGGAACGGTAGCGGCCGTCTCAGCACCGCCGTGTAGTTTCTCTGCGTCGCCGCCAAAGTTGTAGATTCCCCGCAGGCCCAACAGCCCTCCGTCGGACGATGCGAGCCCCTCGACGGCGTACTTGCCCACATCATACTGTGCGAGCCCGAGCGTCGTGCCGCCGTTGCGCAGGTGCTGGCCCGACACGGCGCTAAACTGCACCTGCAGGTGCCGCGACAGCCGCTTCACCACGAGCCCCTCGAGCTGCGACTGTGGCAGGTACAGCCTCCCGTACAGCAGCGACGCTTGCGGCCCGCCGGGATGGGGGACGCCGCCGCCGCCCACTGCCGGGAGCGGCGACGGCAGCGGCTCCAGCGGTGTCAGGGGCCGGTAGGAGCGCAGCAGCGTGGGCAGCGCGACCTTTTCCGACTGCGGCGTCAGCAACACGCGCAGCGGCACCGAGGAGAAGAGGTACGAGATGGAACCGTCGACGACGCCGACCGAGCCCAGCTGGTACGACGTGGCAAAGTTGGGGCTCGCGAGGGCGGACAGGGCGAGGCGCAGGCCGCGCGGGGTCGGAAAGTTGAGGAGGGCTGCTCTCGATCGGGGTCATATTAGCACTCATGACGGTCGTTCGGTTGTCGCGGTCGGCACGGGGCATCCAAGCCCTCCGCAGCTGGGGCGCGACGACATACCATCACTGGTGGAATTCAGCGCCGCGTACGAGTTGTCGCGGGACCAGCCCGTGGCTTCGTAAAATGCGCTGTGGACATGGTCCATAAACTCGCGCATCTCGTCACCGCCCGCGACATGTAGTCTCTGATATCCACGGATGTTTCTAGTGGCGAAGCTCTGATCTGCGCGATTTCCTTGGTTTGTTGGTCAGCTATTAGCAGCCTCGCGAGTTCTTTCTGCAGTTCCTTGTGATCCCTGTCGGCAAAACGTCGGCGCTAGCGCCGCTCAGTAAGTTCGAGTCTACGGTGTTGTCGGCCGATGTGCTCTAGGTTAGGGTCACTGATGAACAACTGACTTATTAAGAAGTCTTTTAAAATTTTGCGACTAGAATACATCAATTCAATGCCTAAGAAGCTGGCTCACCGCTCTTTGGCAGGCGCTGGGTCACTTGCGTTAGCCCACCGTAACCTAGGCAGCATTCTTTATCCCCAAACCGCAATTGCTTATGCATGGAATACTATGGCCTGATTTGTATGGCAGCGTGAGACTACAATGCGTTTACCAGATATTTGAGTGGCTTAGTATGAGTTTATAAGTAGAATCTACATATGAGATCATGCGTCCATCAGATTACCATCCCTTGCGGCTGATTGCCTGCGCTGCACAGTCATTGCGTCTTCAATGAGTTTAGCCTTCTCGTCCGCGGTCAAATCACTACTGGCCCTAGGCACCTTCCCCCAGACTGCCAGAATCGACAAACTCGCGGCGGCAGCACCAATTACAAACCAGAACATATTCGTATAGCTCTTCCCCAATCCTACCCCGTCTACTGTTGCTGATTGGATGATGTCCGTGAAGCCAAGGACGACAGCTATACCTAGCTGCAGAACTGAGTTGATAACACTTCTGGCCAGCCCCTGCTGCGCTGTAGGAAGGGTTGTGGTCACGAAGACCGTCATCAAGATAAGATAGTAAAGGTGCTTCAATAGGTGCCCACCTTGAAGAGCGGTGCTAGCGGCATCTTGCGTCTTGGCTGCCCATCTGAGGCTAGTGTACGGCCGATCTGCCAGCATCTTGAGATTCATTGCCTGCATTGGGCAACATCCAAATTATCCTTGCATCCAAATTGTCCTTGCATCCAAACTTTCGCTCGCCTCTTTTTTTGGCCATTGTCTCGGAACCTCGTGCCATGTGGTCATTGACTGTTTCTAATATGACTCGGCAGTACCTATGGTTACATATCTGTTACCTGCTCGTGTTGAGACAAGCATTTGTCAGCAGAGATTGGGACTTATTTACCGGTCTAGATGCTCGCAAGGAATTATTATTCGATCATTATTGAGTACACCGCTAGAGCGAAATCACCAATTATTGCACTTGAACCAGAGGCCCATATAACTAATATTGACCATACTGAAATAGACTACATAATGATCACTGCCTGTACCTTGAGGACTCGATCATCATACCATATATGTTGTCTTGACATCTTGGACAAAACCACTTGGTGTTCCTAGATACAATTTCTTGCGGCCGATTGTCTTCACAACGTGACTGTATGCCGCTTTCTACATTCACGCAAAATCGACCACAGTGCAAGATCGCTTATAGTCATCAAAGTACAATGTTTTCCTGTAGAGCTACATTCCCCAAAGTCTTTCAACGATGCTAGCTACAAAAGATCTTTTGGGTGCACAACGATCCAGTTGTCGTCAGCAGTTGGGGGTAGCCCGGCCTCTTTCTGTTTGCATACTGCCTGTTTCCTCAACTTGGAAAAGTCGCGCAAGGCCTCATCGTTTCGTGCTACCAATAAGCGTATTCCGCCTCTTGCCACATCCACGCCATGGAAAAGCATCGGCGCGTCGCTTCCAGGAGAATCGCCCGCAACCAGGATGGGCATTTTCCATTCGTCAATATACGACAAAATAGCAGCCCATTTGCCTATTTTCCATGTCGCCGGGGCCCATAGATATGGTATCATGACCAGATCTGACCCATCATCTTTGACTGCCTGAGCGTTGTATGTGCCATCTGCAATTTGCTTGCGCGATGTTTGAATCGATCCAGTCTTTAGGTTCTTTAGGAGAAGCGTGGTGCCAATCACATTCTCGGGCTTGACGTTGTAGCCGTATTTGGGGTCTGATGCAACCATGCGAACAATTTCCTCAGACGCCGCGGTTATCACAAAAACATCAATTCCGTTGGCCATCAACTTCTGATAGAGTTCCACTTGCCCTCGAAAGATTTTTGGTGGATGAATTTGAATCTGTACGAGGTCGTCTCCTTCGTAGCAGTTGCTTGGTACAGGCTCTGTCGAAGCCATCAGTTCATCCACATGATTCTTTAAATCGCGCAGTGGGATGTTGCTGAAAACTTGCGTGGAGAAAGAGTAGTAAATGGAATCGCCCAGTTCGTATAGACGGGTACTGTAGCTGTACAGGCTTTCCTGCTTGGTCGCCGAATCCTTGAAGGGTATAATCTGAATTGCCGAGTCTAATGTTGCCCGCGACAAAACACCCTTGTTCTCAAGGAATGGAAGAAGGCATGATTCAAGATCAAATTGCCAACTTGTATCGTCCATATCAAAGCATGCATAATGCCCTTTGTGTGCATTAGCAGCAATCATATCGTTGAGCTGCTTCGCAGCGGAAGTCGGCCAATGCTCTAATTCAACTTCGGGTTTTGGCTTATAAGTCATGATGCCGGGGACGTGATTCGGCGATGTTCGAAAAATGGTGCGCGTTGCAGCTCTAGTAAATAGCCAAGAAAGAGGAACAGACGATCCTTTTCTACTTCTTGCCGACCAATTGTGCAAAGAATTAGTGATCCGAGGCTTATAAACCATAGGTATAAACCAAGGTCCACAATGGAGACACTGGAAGCGGAGCTGCGACTCACCCACATACGCGCGGTGACGCATTCGCCAGAACCCAGGCTACCTACAGCAGCGCAGAGACAGCGCAAAGCGCAAAACCGGCCAAATATTTATGTATACTTGAAAAGGAAGCAAAATCAGGTATTATTTATAGGGGCTTTTTTAATGCTAGGTCTTTACTGGATTACCCCTTGCATGACTTACACAGCAAAAGGCTACTACTAACAGTGGTTGAGTATAATTTGGAAGATATATCAAACTTGTAAACTTTCCATTTTTCAGTATACTCAACAAGTTTCTTTAGTTGTATATTATTTTGTGTATAGAGACGGAGGGCAGCATAGGACCAAATCCCAATCTAATATTAGAGCAACACCAAAACGGCGATAAGGCTACCATCCAGTCTTGAACCAACACAAAGTACCAAGGCCCAGTAAGAAGATTCTCAGGCTATGAACTGTTGAAATTTAAGCGCGGCCTTTGCAAAGCACAATCTATGCAAAACTACGCGAAATTAAAAAAAGGGCATTGAAAATTGGCATCATGAGCACGCCCAACAGACTGCATTCGCATTTGGGGTGTCGAGGAGGCTCTCCACAAATTGAGCCGCTAAAACGAAGACGGGCGCTGGATAGTTGCGGCGATTGGTAATGGACAAAGCCAAAGTTGCGGCCGCTTCATTCAGCGCACATGACAAATCTGGCTGGCATTGGCCAATTCGTTGTCGAGCTCCGTTTGACCCCAACTACATAAAAGACTGTTCGTCTTTGTCAACCTCACCAATATCTTCGAACATCAAAGCTTTTCCCCCTACATTCCGGGCGTCCATTGCGACTCACATCACATCCCACAAGAAGCTATCTCGCACAGCATCATTGGAAAACACCAACCACCATGGCCGCTATCCCAACTACCATGAAGGCCCTCGTCGCCGTCCGCGACACCCCCAATGCCACAGCCCCGTCCTCTGTCGAGGGCCGCGGTGCCACCATCAAAGACGTGCCCGTCCCGGCCATTACCGACGACGAGATCCTCGTCAAGGTGACGGCCGTCGCCCTCAACCCCACCGACTTCAAGCACGTTGACCTCTTCTCGCCGGACGGCGTCGTCGTGGGCTGCGATTACGCCGGCGTCGTCGCCAAGGTCGGCACCGGGCCCGTCGCCACCAACGCCTGGAAGGTGGGCGACCGCGTCGCCGGCTGGGTGCACGGCGGGCTGTTCCCGGACCGCGGCAGCTTCGCGCAGTACCTCAAGGTCGACGCCGACCTCGCCTGGAAGGTGCCTGACAGTGTGTCGGACCTCGCGGCAACCACGTACGGCGTCTCGGCCGTCACCGCCGTCCTCGGCCTCAACAAGCACCTCGGTGTGTCCTGGCCCGACGACACCACCAATACCTCTACCTCCTCCTCCTCTGGCGAGCCCATCCTCATCTACGCCGCCTCCACCGGCGCGGGGCTCTACGCCACGCGCCTCGCCAAGCTCGCCGGCCGCACCGTCGTCGCCACGGCCTCGCCGCACAACTTTGACCTGGTGCGGCGCCACGGCGCCGACGCCGTCTTCGACTACAAGTCACCCACCGCCGCCGCCGACATTCGCGCCGCCTACCCGACCCTGACCCAGGCCTTTGACGGCATCTCGGAAAATGGCACCACCGAGTTTTGCGCCAGCGTCCTGCAGCCCGGCGGCTCCATCGTCATACTGCTGCCGCCCACGGCCGAGGAGGTTGACGGCGCCAAGATTGTGCCCATTCTCGCCTACACGCTCTTTGGGCGCGAGTTCCACCTGCTCCCGCCCGAGGGGCCCAAGTTCCCCGCCAACCCCGAGGACCGCGCCGTGCTGGCGCGCTTCTACGCGCTGCTGCCCAAAATAGTTGGCGAGCTCGAGCCCATCCCCATCAAGGAGCTCGCGGGCGGGCTCGAGAACCTGGGCGAGGGTCTGAGTCTGCTGCGCGAGGGCAAGGTGTCGGGCACCAAGCTCGGCTACAAGCTCGAGTGAAAAGTTTGTCGAATGTAGTTGCTGAGGATTGCTAGCTCACGTCCTGTGGCCAATGGCCTGGCAGAGGCATGAATACCACGAAAAAAAATAGACGATTAATGTTACCTTGCTCAAATGGAAAACTCTCGGCTGATGCTTAGTAGTAGTTTATTGATACTACATATGCTACCAACGTGGGCTCAAGTTCCCGAATTGTAGCGAGTGCATCAAACCGTGAAAAAGACTGTAAAAAAACACGAACCTAGTTTGCCCATGCGCCTCATAAAACAAATCAAGTGGCTCTGAGATTACCCATGGCCCGACCCCCCTCACCGACGTAGTCCAAAAAGCCGTCTCGTTGGTGTTGAGGCCCGTATTGGTGCGAATCAGTACAGCATGGCCTCTGCTTTTTTTGCCCTCGTGTATGGTATCATTTCCAAGTCGCTTCACATGATCATTCCGACAAATTCTGAATCAGAGACACGTTGTCGCCCTTGAGGAGGATTTGTCCTGCAGCGTGTTAGCTTGATGCCGAGCTTTGCTGTTGGCCTTGGTCCGCACGTACCCAGTGGTCTTCTCGTCTCCTTGTCGTTGGTCTTGGTAATCTGGCGCACCTCGACGGCGTCGTCGAGAACGAGGTTCATGAACTCATCGAAGCCCTGCGCGTTGAATTAGTGTTGGTTCGTTGCTATAGGATCTGTCTCAACCCACTCTAATCTTGCCCTCGACCCGGATGCCAAGCTGCTCATAGAGCCAAACGCTAACGGTGGCATTCTAATGCAAAGTCAGTAAACCCCTGCCAGATGTCTTTTCTTCTGCCTTTCTGCGCTAGCGATGCACGACTTGCGAATCGGTCCCCCGCGGTAAGCTTCCATCGCTTGATCAGCGCCGCTCAGAGATGTCGACTATTCTACCTGGCCGTTGATGCCTATGGTTCCATGACCAGATACGGCCTGCAAAAGACTATCGCTCGTCTCGTGTCTGCCACCGCTAGAACCATGATCGCATCGCACATCGCCAGCCGTCCAGAAACTCCGCTCGCATGTCGGTCGCACGTACGCTTTGCAAAAGCTTGAAAATCATATTACTGCAATCAATCATGTCAGTTTCTTTGCTCGAAGCAGCTAGTCGGTCGCGTGCGGGGTGGTTGCCTACATGGGAGGAAGCAAAACGCGGCGTCCGCCGCCACCACGACCAGTCATTTTGAGCTGCTATGTGCGAGTATGCGTTGAAGCGTATGTAGCGTTTTGACGCGACACTCAAGAATTCGCGCGAATGGGCGATGGGTAGGGATTGGCGCGTCAAACTTGATGGTCGGTGTCGCTCGAAGCTCACGTCCGAAGTTGATGGTCCTGACCCGCAGAGCTCGCAGGCCGAAATTTTGGTGGAGATTTATTAATCCGGCCGCCGTCAGCAGTGGTGACGGGATTGCCAAACCCGACATCGTGATGAACTTTGCTAGAAACTATCAGATACTGTTTGAATCGAATCATTGTGAAAATACGTTTTTTTTGTCTATTTCTCTGGGTGCAGATGTAATTTCTTGCAGATTGTAGAGAATGAAAGGCGCGAGGATCTAATTATCACAACACTACAAGGGGGTCAAGAGGATCAGATGTCAAAACTCCGTAATTTGATTCGTTTCATTCTACCTAAATTGTTCTCAAAAGAACGACATTCATGTATGGCATCGAGTGTTGCTTGCGTGGTTACAGATGAAGGCAACGGTGAAAGACCCTAGTTCCAACCCTAAAGCGGCTATACTTCTATTTCAAAAAGATCATGCCGCAAATAAAGAGTAAACAGAGGGCACACTCGATTTGTGAAGCTTGATTAGCTTTGTTTGACCATCCAGAAGTGACGAACGAAAGTTGCAGAATCCATCCAAGATCAGAAAAACGGGCGAAACCAAATGCCCATGGTACATCGACATTGTATATTCGGTACGGCGAGTGAAAAACCATTTCATCAGGGGACTGGAAGTAAAGCAAAATGCCAAACAATCAAGTAGGAAAATAAAATGTACTCTTACCAGTGACAATTGAATTGCAAGCGGGCGTTTTTTTGGCGGCATGGCTCTACAATTCTCTATACGTATAGCGTGGGGTTACGCTAACACGACGGAAGCTATATTTTGGTGTAATGCGACTCTCGATCCACGAGTCGTGGCGGCCCTTTTGAACGGACCATGATAGTGGTGAGAAACTGTAGAGAACAGAAGAAAAACACAAGTTCTTGCATCTAGAGGCCAACACAATTAAATAGCTGCCTCTATTCGTCTCATGCCTTCTTTCTTTTTACAATCTGGTTGCCAAAGAGCGTCACGCCGGTGACTCATGTGCCAACATGAGAGGGCTGTCTCACAACAACAGCTCAAGGTAAAGTCCCCCAGCCTCAGCTTTCAGCACCCTGCCGAGTCAAAAGCCACTGTCTAATTGGTCTGCACCCTTTCTGTGTTCATTCCCGAGATGCTCTCGAAAGAGGCTGGCTAGCAAAGAGTTTCACGCCGGTTGACGCATGTGCAGAGATGAGATCTGCGGTCATTTAGCGCTACTCTTAGTTAATATCAACAAGCCCCTCGCCGAATAAATACCCAGCCTCGGTTTTCAGCACACATCTAACCAGAAAAAAAGAACAAGTAGAAGAGGAAAACTCTGTATTACTCAGTATGCACTTGTTATTCTGCGTTATTCTCTGAATGAATTGATTGCCAGCGAGCCGCGTATAGCTCATCAGAAGAAAATAGGGCTTCGAGCTGAGATTTCCCCGATGCCACGAGAACGCCACTAGCTAGACTCAGTCAGGCACGCACGCCAAGAAGATGGCAGTAGTTTTTGAATATTTCCAGATCAGTCGCCGAGTCTCAGATCGAAACTGCAAAGAGGATAAAAAAAAACTAGGAAAATCTCTTTCAATCATCTGCCACTTTTCAAAAAAAAAAAAAAAAAAAAGGTTCTTGTTGTGGATTCCTACGAGTAATGGCGCCTTTTAACCCTTGTCAACGCACGCGCCAATGTATTGTCGTCGCCTAGCCACGAGCAAGAAGGCTGCGGCAAGAACAGCGATCGCCCGAAGCTGCCCGTGGCAAGCCATTTTATTAGATTAGTTTGGGTTCCACGCTGAGCCGCATTTTTTGCGGAAAAAGGATGAGAAGGATTGAGAAGCCCAAGCCAACGACGGAAGCTGAGTTCATGCAAGGCACGGGCCAGGGGTGTGTATGGGTTTTTTTTTCGTGCTCAAATTGCTGATATCCACTGGTGTGATTTATGCGTTGCGGCCACTGGAAGATTCTGAATGTCCTTTTTTGCTGGCCAAATGTCACCATCGCTGAAGAGGTCTTGGTATTGATTATTGCACTATTACTGGTGAGGCTGGACGGGCGTCCGCGGGACGGACGTCCAGGTGGCTACCTGGCGTTGCGCTTTAGTTGCCTGTTTGGGAGTCGTTGAAGATGCTGCAAGATGCATTCCTGTGGCTGAAATCGTTGACGTGTGAATGAAGTAAAATTTTCCGTCAATCAATTCCGTGCGGAATGGTTTGCGATGCAGGTGGCCGACGTGGCGTGTAGGCGCCGTTCCGTGCAAAGTGCAGCAGGGTTGGCTTACACGCGCTTTGCCCCTGGAAGCTACTCATCTGCAAAAAGACTGCGTTGCAGACCGCAATTTTTAAAGTCAATTAGCGTACGATATTGCAATGTAACTTGCCAAAACAAATCTGGTGCTATTTGGTGCCCAAGTCGTGTTTTCTAGGAACATGATCAGGACATGCACAAGATCGGTGAAGCAACGTGGTGGCGGATGACCTCGGGAGTGCGCGTAGCAAGCTTGTACCGGTACACGAATTGCAAAAGTATAGGCTCGAATTGCGCTGTTGTTTTCCGATATATATAGAATGAGCTGATTTGGGGATTCAAAAACGTAAAGAATGGGACAAGATGAAAATAATGCGAGAGCACGCAACAGTGCGGGATTCCACCAAGCGGGTATATAGAGCCGCAGTGGAACCCCCGAGGCCATGCCGTCCAAGGGCACTCGAGGGAGAAGAGTCGAGACGCTCTATTGCCCATTTGGGAAATACTCGACCGTCTACGCCGTGCTGCTACTCCGTGATACTCCGGTCTCCGTGCAATTATTATCGAGAAAAAGGGGGATGATGAATGCGCGGTTGGATTCTGGACGTGTTGCTGTTGTGCAGTTTTGGTCAAGAAAAAAGGTGCAGCAAAATCGAAAACACACCGCTAAACACTAAAAAGAGACTCGGTTAGTCTATCAGAATGATTGGTGAGTGGCACAAGATGGGCCAAAAGGTCAAACATGTTGTAATAAGGCGTGCGCAGTAACAAGCGGCCAGCAACCAGGGATTCCTCTTTGGTGCGATGCCGAACCCAGCCAAACCAGTCAAACCAGCCTCAGCTGGCGCGATCGAGAAACGGCCGTAACGTGGCCTGGGCAAGCAAGGGTTGCAGGGTTACGAGGCCCTTGTTCAGCCACCTGTTCCAACCTTGGCAACTCGGCAGAGAAAAAGTTGAAAGCCACAGCTGGGCGAATCGGTTGCATCCGAGGACACACACCACACGCTGCACACCACAACACAGTCAGTTGACACTTGACACCTAAATATCTGGCCAGTCTAGCCTAGCCTGGTTTGGTTGCCTGGCCTCCCTCTTCGTGCGCCTTGCAGTTGACAGATGCGATCCACTGAACTCTGCTGCAGCTGCTGGCCGCAAAGGATCAAAAACGCAGCCCGATGTCGGAATACACAAGTTTGTAAGCAAGCAAGCCAAAAAATCGTTAGCGAACGCCTTTTTTGGCGTAAACGAGGCGGGATCATCATGACAGCCTATGAGTCAAAAAAGGATCTTCTCGCTTGCCCAATTTCCCCGTGGGGGTGTGCGTAGATGTCGGTGCCGAAGGCGCGGGGGATAAGAAAGATAGAGATAGATGATTGTGAGTTGGCACGCGCCAAAGACGGGACTATCAAATTTTCGCTAGTTGACTGACACCTTCTGGCCTCGTGCATGTTAAAAAAAGATTCGACGTAAACGAGTAGGTGTCACTGGTGTCCAGTCGTCAGTCTATAAAGTTGCGCCGTTTTGCCCATTTGTGGTATTTAATGGATCACGTTGTGGACATTTGGCATGACATTTTGCTGAAACCGCCCGTGTCAATTTCATCACACCGCACTACAGGCATCAAATATCACACCAGCTTCGGCCACCCTCATTCACCTTGAAGGCCCGAACGGCACCTGGAGCCCGGCTGAGCGGCACATCGGGCCTGGGCTGCAATATGAGAAGTGTACGATGATGCACGACCAAGCGAGACAAGAGCATGTACAAGAAAATCCGGAAATGTGGTGGTATCGAGGCGTGCGAGGGTAGATCGCTGACAGGTTGTGCATGCCCGAGGCTGGCTGGCAGTCGCTGTGGCAGGCAGGTGAGACCAGAAGCGTTGTAGTTGCATCAATCTCTCTCCCTGCAGCGAGCTAGCCAGCCACGGTCCGTACAGTAGTACACCGCGGTGTGTTGCGATGCCAATAGCGCCTTTGCACAAGACATCGTGATGAGAAGAAGAAAAAAAAATATCAAGAAAATTTAATAAAAACCCAAATAATATGAGCAAGAAATTAATAGTCCTGGGAAGGCGAGTTGCGATGGAGACGACAACAGCGGAGATGCTCGATCCATTTCATTACGACCCAAAATCGACCAACAATTTTTTTCCGGCGCGCAGAAGAGGGGGGGTAGGTGTAGTAGGAACTCAGGTACTCGAGCGTCACCCGCCTGGAAAGACGCAAAGGAAGCCTCTAAAAATACAGGCGGTCAGACCACGGAAGGTGCGCCGGAATGCGGGTAGAGGTAGAGTTCAGACGTTACAGGCCTAGGCTACAGGGCGTGAAGAATCGAGCTCAGGGCCCCTCTCGCTGGAAGAATTTTTTTTTTTCGAATCAGTTCATGATACATTTACTGGAACCTTCCCCGTGGCACGGTCTAGGCTGGCTGCCCACTGTCGAATCGGTACGTGCTGCGCGCAGCGTGCTGTATGGAAAATTTTCTTTGCATGGCCCACTGCGTGTCAGGACGATTGGCACTCAGTAGTTGGGGGTGTGTGTGAATACAAACCTGCGAGTCGGAGCCGGCGGTGAACTCTACATGCAAGAGCTAAGTAGGTACCTGACATTTTAGTCAGTCCCAACGAGTAATCAGATATTTTTTGTTTAGTTATTATTTCTTCTTCCTCCTCGCCATGTGCTCATCTTTTCCTTAGGGCGGTGACATTGCTAGTCGGCTTTCGCTTGCCTGTCCGCCGCCCTTCGGCATGGAGACTATGCTTTTTTTGGCCCATCTCTGGTTCTCTGCTCCGATGAGACCATTTTCAGGGAAATGTTACTAATAAAAATCGAAAAAAAAAATTATGCCAGACAGCAAAGAGTATAACGGAGCTGCAAGAGTAGAAAAAAAAAACAGTCAGGTCGCATCGTGCAAAAGGCTTGGCTTTTTGCTACTACGACGGGGCCCGGAGGCAGAAGACCCGCAGCTCCGGAGCATCGATTGAGTGCAAGTGGGGCGACAGTCCGGCGAGGGCGTTTCGCGAAAAAGAAAAATATGGAAAAAAAAAAGGTACGTACTGAATGGGTATGCAAGTGAAAAGGGAGCGCGTGATTACTTGTGGGAGGAGCAGCAATAGAATAATCACGAACCGGTAGTTGCTTTTGAATTGTAAACAAGGCGTCACAAGTTGCAGATCATTAATGGCAGTGCGAATTAAACCTTTGATTGATGCAACTATATCAGCTCGGGGTCGTTGTGTATTTCTAAGCGGAAAACGCCAAAACGGTTGAAGCAACAGCCATGACGTGCTGTAGCGAGCTATGCACGCCGAGCCGTTGGGCTGACAAACTTTCCGCCGACGTCGTGACAGCAAGCCACTCAACTAGAGGCACAGATTCACGACATGGCTGTGCGCCCTGTGGTCTTGAGCTGCGTCAGATGACGACCATTTATGGCGGCATAGACACTAAATATTTGGCAACAGCGCAAGACGACGAGTCCAAGGGCGCATGGCGTAATTGTAGCAAGGCCCGAGTCCCATGTGGGTGCCATGGCACTCCTTCAAGTACACCTCAGCAAGCAAAACATCCTAGTGTGCGTGATGCCAGGGCCTGAAACAAGGGCGTAGTAATTATGGTGCGGCGATGAATCGAGGTCTGTTGTAAGTTGGACGGAAGAGCATGACAAAAGAAGGCAGTCGCTCGAATTGGACCTGCTGGCCGCCATTCGCTTGCCTGCAGGCAGGAGGAACGCAAGCAAAAGCAAAGTACAAGACATCGACAGCAAGTGGGACCGCTGTCGAAAAGTAACTTTTTTCGCCTTGTGTGACTCTTGTTCGCCAGCTGCGAGTGGCGGCTGGCGGCTGGCAACACTGTAGTTGGCAGCTGGCAATTGTCGTTTGTTAGCAAGTTACAGGGGAGCCCAGGGCGTAGACGTCCCCACCGCCGACACGTACAGTGGGCACGACGTTGCTGGTAGCGCTCGACTGCACCGTAATACTGGTCGACTTGGTGCCCGCCGTTGACTGGTAATTACAAGAGTGACTCGCTAGGGGGCGTGTCAATCACTCCCGTTTGCCTCGTGTCGGGGGTGTGGCTAAGCCGGTACGTACTTGTCCCTGGCTCTATCGCGGTCCATCCATGTACATGTTTTCTGGGTCCTCATCGGCCGTCGACGGCTTCTGGCCCGCGACAAAACTGAATTCAAGTCAATAAGGTACTCAGCGCTTTTCTCTCCTTGCCCCAATGACACATAATTTTTTTTCCATACGCCTCTTCCAACCGTATATTACTCCTTGATGCCCTCTTCCCCGTACTTTGCTCTCCTCCCGTTCTTGTATCATTCCGTTACAACAAACCGTCACTACCCCAGACTTGCCTACCGTCACAGCCTCTACATCACCTCACCCAGCATCACATACTGCAACTTGCATCATCCCTTCCTCTGCCAAACACCACCTGTTCCCTTGGCACTTACTTACACCAAGCTCGACTGCCCAGACATAGCTTTACAACTCGGCCATTACCATAGGAATCCTCATTCGCCTCCGCGTTACACCCATCTCTCCAAGCCAAGACAAAAAAAGAGTCGAGCAACTGCACCGCTACATAAGCCCTTGCCGTTAATAAATCAAGGCTTTGCACCACCCTGCGCTATCGGCAGTTCTCATCACACGTCAAGCTCGGCCTTTGCCTTTCGTCCTTGATCTGGGCCAATCGTCCTCGAGTGGCGTCCTGTACTACAAGCCTAGCACTATTTACGCTTGCCGCCGGGAAGTATCGCACAACATCCCCGCGCCGCCACCAGCCTGAATGAGTGCATAGCCTAACGAACGCCTTGGCTTTCACTCGTGCGCCTCCGACATACAAGACACAACCGTCTGCAAATCGTCCTGCTTTTGCAGCCACGGTTTTCCTGTTATAGCAAGCCTTCAGTCGTGTGCCCCTCCTGCTGTCAACTCCAAGACACCAACGCATTTAACAAGGAGGGGTACGCTGAGCTTTTATAAGCCTTCTTCCGTGTTGTCCAACTAGCGACAACTTCTCTCTCACCAAAGAACATTACAGCAGTTTCCACTTACACTACCAACCCCACTGCGCCCTAGCGCATACATACCGACGACATGCCTCACCTCGTCTCCAACTTCCTCCGGTCCTCCACCGGCAACATTTCGCAAATAAAAAACGCCGCCCGCTCGCGCACTGCCTCTCGCAATGCCTCTCGCAATGCCTCGTGCGACTCATCCAGGAAAAACTCCGTCTCAGGCAGCCCGTACGAGTCCGACGCCGACGACCACGCCGTCAAACCCCACGATTTGATTGACGCCGTCAAGAAACACCACAAGCTCACGCTTCCCTTTGGTCGCTCCTCCAGCTCGCCCGTGCGCGAGCTGAACCCGGCTTCCTGCAGCGTTGCTGCCATTGATTGGAGCATCGAGAGCCCGCCCATCATCTTTCACGGCACCCGCGAGGATAGCACCGGCGCCATTGTCTCTGGCCAGCTTTTCCTCGACATCAAAGATGACGTCGTCGACATTGACAGCTTCAAAGCCACCCTCAGCATCCACACCACGCACAAGCGCCCCTGCCAGGGCCACTGCGCCGAGTGCCAAAATCAGATTACAGAGCTTCAAGCCTGGGTCTTTCTTGACCACACCACCAAGCTGCACCGCGGCAAGCACGCATTTCCCTTTTCAGCGCTGCTCGGCGGTGAGCTGCCCGCTAGCACCAACACCCCCCTCGTCTCCATCGCCTACGAGTTCAAGGCTGTCGCTCAGGTATCGCGCCACGCCACAGGCACCGCCGCGCCCATCCAGCTCAAGTTTGACCGCACGCTGCTGGTCAAGCGCTCCGTGCCGGAGCCTCTCTTCCCGCACCACTCGGTGCGCGTCTTCCCACCGACCAATATCAAGGCCAGTGCCGACTACGTATCTGTCGTGCACCCGACCAGCACCAACAAGCTGACGCTTAAGCTCGATGGGCTCATGAGCCACAACGAAAAGGTCAAGACGGTCGACCTGTGGAAACTGAAGAAGGTGTCGTGGAAGCTCGAGGAAACCATCAAGACGGTCGCCCCTGCTTGCGACAGGCACGCGCCCACAGCCAGCTCCGTCGGCAACATCAAGGGCACCGTCCGCAACGAGGTCCGCGTCATTGGCGAGAAGCAGCTGCATGAGGGCTGGAAGTCGGACTACTCTGGCCACGACGGTTCCGTCGATATGGAGCTCGACTACAGCATCAGCCAAGCTCGCAACCACGCCGGCGAGCTCAAGTACGCCTGCGACACCAAGACGGCCGACGGCACCGAGGTCACCCACTCGCTACTACTCGAGCTCATCGTCTCCAAGGAGTACGCGCCCGAGGGCAAGGCCCGTCAGGCCACGCCCACCGGCACCGGCCGCATCCTGCGCATGCACTTTGGCGTCGTCGTCACCGAGCACTCGGGCCTCGGCGTCAGCTGGGACAACGAGGCGCCTCCCATTTACGAGGACGTACCCCCGAGCCCGCCCGCCTACCCGCTTGAGTCGCCCGTCGACTACCAGGACCTCCAGCCGCTCTACGCGCGCCCTTCGAGCATTGACGCCTCGGCGCTGGACGACACACCGACTTCATCATAGCCCGCATGCATGGCATTTGCTTTACTCATCATGGTTTTTGATTTGCAAAAAGCGTTTGATTTCCTCTTTTTCTTTTTATATAATACAAATATACCCCGGCAGCGAACAACGGCACTGCATCGGAAAAGATTATTGGTGGGCCTTTGTCTATTTCTTTTTTTTCTATTGGATGAATCATGACGACTTATGGACTATGATTGGGAACAAGACTACTTTACTCTATTTATCGTGCTCGACACAAGGGCTTTGACAACCAACATGTACCTAATATATATACTGAAATACAAAAACATGTACAATCTGACGCGATGCTTTTTTGAGCATATGACTAAATACTCTGCGCTTAAAATTACAAACCATGTTAGATTCATTTCTCGATTCCATCACCCTTTACGCCGTCACTGCTGGCGCCCCCCAGTAATACGTGAATATGTCCACGCCCATGTACTCGTCCTTGTACGTCTTGCCCGGGCCGTCCTCCTTCCTCGCCGCGCCCGCGCACACAATGAGCGGCATAAAGTGCTCGCCGCCCCTCGGCGGGTGCATCACGTCTGCAAACGGCAGCTCGCGCCACCTCGCCACCTTGTCCGCCCTCTCGGTCTCGTTGGCCGCCGTGACGGCGTCCGTCACGGCCGCGTTCCACTCGTCGGTCCGCTCCTTGAACGCGAGCCACTTTGGGTCGGCCGACATGCTGCCGAATCCGCGCAGCGACTGCATAACGGGGATATTGTGAAACGACGCGAAGCCGGAGCCGACAATGGCGACGTTGTCGTCGCGCAGCGCCGCCAGCGCGCGGCCCATGCGCAAATGCTGCTCGGGGTCTTCGCTCTGGAGGACGGAAACCTGGACAATGGGTATATCGGCGTCGGGGACGGCGAGCTTGAGGGGCACAAAGACGCCGTGGTCCCAGCCGCGGGTGGCGTCGAGGGTAGGGGACAGGCCCTCGGCGGCCATGGCTTCAAAGACGCGCGCGGCGAGGGCGGGGGACCCGGGGGCGGGGTAGGACAGGTTGTAGGTCTCCGGGGGGAAGCCGTAGTAGTCGTAGAGGAGCGGCGGGGACGGGCCCGAGGAGATGCTGGGGTGACGGGTGGTCCAGTGCGCGGTGACGAGGATAATGGCCGAGGGGCGGTGGTCGGGCGAGGAGAGGCGCAGGATCTCGGGAACGCGGTTCCGGAGGGAGGCGATGATTGTCTTGTGGCCGGGATCGTTGAGCAGAGGCATGGGACCTGCGGGCGCAAAGTTAATTAGCAAAGGTGCGGCGCAATCGTGGAAAGGGAAGGCAGGGAGGAGGGGGGGGGGGGAGGAGGGCTCGTGGGTGCTCGGAATGGGGGGTTCCGTACCTCCGCCGTGGGAGAGGGCAATGACAGGTCCGACAGGCATCTTGGGCGCGGCGCGGAAGAAGCGTAGTGTAAACGGGATGGCCAGGGCGAGGATGAGCCAAAACAGATCCATTTACTTCATTTCGAAGGAGGGGAGAAGGGGGAGAAAAAGGTGAGGGTCGACTTATAGGTTGCGGAAAACAAGTTGAGATGGGGAATCGGATGGCGGTTTCCATTTATCGGTGACGAGGTGGGATGGAAAGAGGACCCGGCGCTTATCAATCAGGAATCGGTGAATTCAACCCCGCCGCCGCCGCCGCCCGCCCGACCGAGTAAGGGACTGTTGAAACTTGAACTAACTAGTGGGCACGGGAGAAGAGCAGAGCGCTGGATCGGTAATTGACAAGGAATTGAAGATTTTTGATTAACAATTGTTAATAATACATTGGCTGGGAGGTGTATAGGCTACACCATAAGTAAGGTCATCTGTGTGTCGTATACGTGTATCTTAACGGTTGTGCCGGGTTAAATAAGCTGTCTATTGATGACTATTGATTATACAATACAAACAAAAGCGGCAACAAGCTTATTATCATGGACTATCGACCCCGGGAATCGATGAAGTTCGAGTTGTCCAACACCCGTACTCGTGGCTGGTCACTACTGAGGTACTACTATCAAAAGCCCGAGGCTCCGTATAATACGCCTCGCAGCGGGTCAATTTTGCAATATTGATGCACTGCTTGATTAGACTGTAAAACGAATACTAGGAATAGATATATTGAATGACCTCTCATCTGGGAAATAAAATACCCACGAGCAGCACTTGGAAGTTTCATACAAGCTTCAAGAGCACATCACTCACACTATTTCAAATGGACTTGTCCCCGTTGTGGAACGTTGGCAGTTGTGTACGCCCTCAGTTGCACCGGCACAAGATAATTGCTCCATGACAATTTAGCTAGACATGTCAGAAAAGAAACAAGGCATTTTTTCTTTTTTCGAATCATTTATTTTTCATGGACTGCTTCACCACTGCTGCCTGAACCTTCACTGCACTACATCAGGCGTCTTTGTTAGCTGGTGGTTCAGTGGCCTCCACAAGCCGGCTGGTGTGACTAATTTTCTTTCAATCTTCATGAAGCGCAAAAAAAAAAAAAATAGAACCTTTCGAACTCACACAAATCTCACACATCCCTCACTCGAAAAAATCTTTTAATGCGTGCGCATCTCTCACTCCTCACTGCCTTGAGAGCACAGAAACCCAAGTTCCTCCACTTGAACAAATACGTTTCGGCAAGCGGGCTTGCTCACCGCGCCGGTCCGCAGCACAAACAGCGCACGACTGTTGAACCACAGACGTCTCTTCTCCACAGCGGCATGGCCAACGAGCAGGCCGCTGGTATCGCCACTATGGATATCCAGCAAGACATCACGGACAAGCTTGATAATCAAGCAGGTGGGAAACACGCCAGAGGTGGGCGGAAAGGCCGTGGTGGGCGAGGCGGCGGCGGCGGCGGTAACCGCTCCAGCGACGTTTCACGGGCGCTGTCACGACTATTGCGGCATCAAGCTGAGAATGCGGGCATTAAGCTCGATGGCGAGGGATACGCTCCTCTAGACAAAGTGGTGCGTAAATTTTTTTTTCCATATATTGACAACCATCGAAATCTTACTAACGCGCAGCAGCTACAATGGGGTCCTCTTGCATCTCTAGGCGTCACGCTCGCCGACGTGCAATCCGTCGTCGCCACCAACGAGAAGCAGCGCTTCTCCCTCAAGCCCACCACCACCACCACTACCACCACCACACCCGCCTCTCCGGCAGCGCCCCCCTCCACCAACCCTGGCGACTACCTCATCCGCGCCAACCAGGGCCACTCCATCAAGCTCGAGTCCTCGTCGCTCCTCGTCCCCATCACCACCGCCGACGCCGTCCCCGCGCGCGTCATCCACGGCACCTACTACGCCTTTTGGGAGCCCATTGTAGCCGCCGGCGGGCTAAGCGTCATGGGCCGCAACCACATTCACTGCGCCGCGGGCACGCCCGAGGAGGAGGGCACGGTGAGCGGCATGCGCCGCGACGCGCAGCTGCTGATTGAGATTGACGTGGCGCGCAGCATGGCGGCCGGCGTGCGATGGTGGCGCAGCGATAATGCGGTGATTCTGACAGAGGGCGACGACAACGGGCTGCTGAGCACCGAGTTCTTCAAGTCGGTGCGGGGGAGGCACGGGGATGTGGGCATGCTTTGGGAGAATGGCGTTGCGGTGGCGGAGCTGCCGCCGGACGTGAAGAGGACGGTGCCCCACGGAAAAGGCCCGAGAGGAGGGGGGAGAGGGAGAGGTGCAAGGGGGCGAGGACTCGGGGGGAGGACAGACGGCAGTAGAGGTGGACATCAGGAATAAGAGAAGAATCCAAGCATCAAGAGAGATGGCCTTCACCTTGGTCAATGGATGGGCATGCATCTATAGCGAAATTACACGTATGAGCTTAATTCAGACAACGCGTTCCAAGATGATTCATTGATTATTCCAAATATGATTGTGTTCACCTGCAGAAAACATCCAGCATCTCAGTTACCGGCATGATTCTCATCTACATCGAACGGACTCCCCCTCCTCCTCACCGTCTTTGCCTGTGGAAGAAGCATCATGGCCAAATACGCTCGTCGTCGACGACATCACCACCCTCTTCATCAACATGTCCGCCATGACACGCGCCCACTGCAACGCGTCGAGCATCAACAAGTGACGAATACCGAGCAGTTATAGTCGACAGCCATCCATAGCGTCTGCTTCCGTACACACGTCCTGTCCTACTTCTTCCCAAACACTCTTCTTTCCATATTCACAGCCTGCATCAGCGCCGTAAACGCCTCACCCAATTTCTCTACCACGATACTCACGTCCGGCGCCCGCGGCACCGTCCTCTGGCCACCCGCCGTCTGCTCCGCCACGAGGTCGCCGCCCGCAACCCCCGTTTTGCCCAGCGTTGCCAAGTGTCGCACGTCTGCGCCGCGCCGCACCGCGGCCGGCTGTGCAGCGCTGGCCGGCGTGATGAGCGTGTCGTCGAGGATATCCTGCCAGCGCGCGAGGTATATGCCAGGTCCCCAGCTACCGCTACCGCTGCTGCTAGTCTTTTGCGCGGCTAGCTGTGTGAGACGCGCATCCGAGCCCTTCTTGAGCGTCGCGAGGTAGCTCGCATGGGCGTTGACGGCGGCGAGTACCTTGGCACGCGCGACGTCGTCTAGCCCAGAGACGAGTCCATCAAGGGACTCATCCATAGCGCTCCTCGTTGCATCCGATGCCATCTGCTGCCTGAAACGCACAATAGATGCATTGCTCCACTCGCGTATGTCACGCCACACTTGGGGACAGTTCTTAGCAACGGCGTGGACAAACTTGTGTAGCAGCGGCTTGTGGTCGTTGAGCAGCTTGACGTAGTCTTCGACCGTGGCAGCGCCGCTATCGTGCGTGCTCACGCGCACAAATTGGGTGATGAACTCTTGCAGATCCTGCAGGTGGTCTCCTAGGTCGACGCGCTCGTGCACAATGCGAATCATGGGGTTGTAAGCGGCGGCTACCTCCTTCAGCGCTTTAGTGAAAAGGTCTGGCGGCTGGCGACACAGCACCCTGGTGATGGCATCGCGGTCGCGGATCGACAGCAAAGCCGAGTAGTATTGGAGACATAGCGCGTGCTGCTTCTCGCTGAGCTGTTCCACGAGCGTCGGGTCGCGCGCCTTAAGCATCGCCACAACGATGGATTCTTTGGCTTCGAGGCTCGCCTTCCTCAACGCCGAGTGCTCTGCCTTGCCGCTCGCGGCGTGCGCCTGAATCGCCTCGAGCATCTCCTCGCTCGGCGCGCCGTCCTTTGCCTGCATCTTGTCGATGCGGTGTATAATCTTTTTAAATTCGCTCGCATCCCGCGACAGCACCAGGGAAATGATGTTTTGCAATAAGTTCATGCCGTCGTCGTCATTTTGGGTAACGCCTAGCCAGTTAGTCAGGCCGGTGACGCTAAGCTTGGCCAGCAGCAGCCGTATCATGCCGCTCATCATAGTGGCGGCGTTGCCGATGCGTAACGTCTGCTTAATCATCTTGTAGGGAACCAACCCGTGGACATTATCTAGCAGCTTGAGCAGGTACTGTCCGTCGGGGGTCAGTACAAAGATGTGGTGCAGCAGCGCGGCGAGATGGAGAACAATATAACTGCTAGACGCGTCGACGGCGACCGAGTGCTCCTCTAGCTTATCCGTCTTGGCGAGGTAGTCAAACATGTTATCCACCAAGTCGCCGTAAACCAGCCCCTCTAGGACATCCTCCCACGCGCGAATAAGCTCCTGGCCGTCATGAAGATTGTAACTCCTCTTCGTTAGCTCTTCCGTTGTCGGTTCTGAGCTTTGGTCACCCCTCCTCCCAACGCCGCCGAGAAATCCCCTCGAAATCATCTCAATGACAGACCCCGAGCCCGAAGACAGCGTCTTGCGCGCCCCCATCGTCCCTTTGTCATAGCTTTCCGACAGATCAGCCTCCGCGAAGCGGCTCAGCAGGCCCTGCACGCGCACAGCCCAAAAGTCCCTCGGCAGAGTCTTCAAGGCCGGCAGCCGCATCACAAACGTCGAGGTGAGCAGCTGCATGACCGGCAGTGCCGATAGTGTGCTAGCGTCCTCCTCATCGCCCTCGGCGTCGCTAGCATCGCTCCCGAGTGATAGCTCGCCGACCGGCGGCGTGTATGCGCGCGGTGAGTCGGGCGCCGAGGGCGTCGGCGTTACGCCTGAGCTGCCGGAGCGTCCCCAGAGGCTGAGCGCGAAGCCCGTCAAGCCGCCGCCACTGTTCGGTGCTGGCGCAGCAATGTCGTGGCGTTGGGCCGCGCGATCTTGCTGCTCTTCATTGCGAAAGGGAAAGCCATGTGTAAGGACGCCGTCTGTGGACTTGAACGCTTCGATTTCGGAGTACGTCTCATGATGAATGAGAATGTCAAAGAGGGCGGCTGTCTGCTCTGGCGTCAGGAGCTGTGATCGAGACATGACCTTTGTAGGCGGTGAAGTGGGTGAATCTTGCAGCTCAAATCTGCTACCGAAGCCAAGTAGGAGAAGAGCGTGAGCCCTTCACTCCGTTAATAATGTGACCTGAGAAATGCCGTGTCACATTTAACCCTGAGAGGTAGCTTCGCTGGGCGCGACAGAGGGTCATACGGGGCGTTGAGCGTCTATTCTTTGTTGACCAAGCCTCTCCAGGTTACGGAACTTTTGTATTGATGCCTAGTCGTGTCACTTTCCAAGTTGTTTGATGCCGCGCTTGATTGTTTAGTATTGGAAGATGGATAGAGCTGTCTGCGCCATGATGTAAACAGGGGGCTGTCCACCCGCAGGAGAAGCGTTATTACGTTGAAGAAAGTCTCCACCCCATCATTAGCACTCTGAATTCGCAGCACGGCAACGCCACGTCACTGACAATCCCCCGCCCCCGGTGTACCAAAATAGTGAACCTTTACCTCGGCCTTTCTAGAAAACAGGTGCGCAGATTTACCAAATCGCTGCTGCCTATCATGATGACGGTAATGGAAAGGAGTTGTCATCGTAGCGGCCATCTTTGGCGTCCACCCCGCACCTCGCACGCACCGATGTGGGTAATAGGCTCGGAAACGGCATGCGACTTTGAGAAGGGTTTAGACGAAGAGTACATATGTGTTGGTTCCAAGAGTTCTCTTTTTTCATGCTCATCTTGTCCCCTTCGTGCTTCTCTTCTAATTTTTCATCATTTTGAAACATTTCTCTCATCATGTACGCGAACATTTTGATAGTACAATGCGTCTCATTAATATCAATAAACTATGACTTGAAGGAAATTACAAAGGATAGTCGGCCATGAGCCAGGGTAGGGTTGTGGTGCGACGCTGTAAACCAAGAGTCTCCAGCTAAAGACTACAAAATAGACACACCATGGGTATATAATCGTATCCGAAACACTTTCGCAACATAAATTTTCCTCGCGTTCTTCAATCCTCATCTCTAGTTGGCTCAGTAGGAGACTTAGTTGATGGGAACAGGGTTGGTGGGATCGAGAGCCGGGGCAGCAGTCTTCTTAATGCCATGACCGTTGGCGATGCCATTGCCATGGGCATTCAGGCCAGTGCCGTTGGCGTGGAGGGCGTTGCCGTTGGAGTGAAGACCGTTGCCGGCAGCAATTCCACTGCCAGCAGCGACGCCGCCGCCACCGATTTCGTTTGCGCCAGCGAGAGTATTTCCACCCACAGCGTTTCCACTGCCAGCGACACCGCTTCCGGCGCCAGCTCCCGTGGGTCCGCGGGTCTTGCTCACGATCTGTGGAGCGGCGGGAATGTCCCGACTCTTGCTGGCGTTACCAATAGAGAAGACAGGGCTCTCCCACTTCTCGCCCTTGAGAGCAAGCTGCTTGTACTCGGTAGCCTTGGAGCTCACACCGCCAGGCAACTTGAGACCAGGGAAGATGGACTCGTCGTCGGTCATGGTGATGTTGATCTTCTTATTGTCATCCGACTTGTTCTTCTTGAGCTGCTCCTGCTGCTGCTTGTTCTTGAGAGCGCGCTGCTGGCTGGCGTCGTAGAAGCGCTTGAAGAAGTTTGTCTTCTTGCCATCCTCGCCAGGGTGCTCGCCAGCCCGATCGGCCTCCTTCTTAAGCTCGTACAAAGTGCGGTCATACTCGTTGCACTGATCCTTGATGGCCTTCTCAACGGCCTTCTGCAGAGCAGGTCGCAGGGCACGGAGCAGGACAGGCTTGAAGATGGCAAAGAGACCCTTGAATTTGGACTTCTTGAGCTTAACGTTCAGGCTCTTGAAGTCAACGTCAACCTTCTCCACCTTGAAAATGTTCTGGCGATCAGTCTTATCGGCAGTGGAGACCTTCATGCGGAAGGAGAAGCCATCGCCAGGTAGAAGGATATCAGCAACACCAGTGTCGGTGATCTTGGGGAAACCGGTTTTGCGCTTAATGTGGTAGCTAACATCGCGCAGATCCATCTGGATACCGGAGACCTTGAGGTCAATCATGTTCTGGTTGCGATTGGTAATATTCCTGCGACCCCACTTCCAGTTGTTGTTGGAAACAAGCTCAGCAACATTGGGCATGAAATTGTCACTCTCAAGGATGAGGTTCTCAATGACGGCGTCAAAGCCGGGGTCAGAGTACTCGATGCGAGGGATGGGGATGTAGGCAATGTTGCGGAGGATGGAGGGCAGAATGACATCGAAAACATCCTTGACGAGGTGGGGCTTGAATTCGGGCTTGCCATCGGCGTTGTTGCCGAGGTTCTTGAAGAGCTTCTGGACAGCAGCACCGAACTGCTTGTTCTGGGGGTCCTTATCGAACTGATCGCCGATAAACTTAATCTCGTCGATCACGTTGTCAGAGTGGCCCTTGTACTTCTCGCGAAGCAAATGGCGGCCTTGCTGGTAAAGAACATCCCAGTCCTTGGTGGACTGTTCCTCGAGGACGTAACCCTGTTCGAGGAGCAGGCGGTTAATGTACTTGTCCATGTTGTTAAACCAGCCCTTGAGCTCAGGGTCCTTCTGGGCGTCCTGGTAGATCTGACCAATAGACTTCCAGAGATTAGAGGTGGAAGTGCCGTTTGCGAATCGCTCAAGCAGGGTGCGGAGGTCGGCCTCGGCAGCAGCGAAGCCGCTGCGGGCCTGGTTCAGAGAGCCGCCAGACTCCTTACCGAGGGAGCGACCGTGTTCGCCATAGGTGCGGGCAAGGCGGAGGAGGCTCTGGACGGCCTGAGAGTAGTCGGTGTGTTGCTGGCACTCAATGACCATCTTCTTGAGGCGGAAGATGATCTGCTCCTTTCGCTCGGCAGGCATTTTCTTGTCAAAGTACTCCCGAGCCTTGCGACGCTGCTCTTCCTTCTTCGCCTTGATGTTCTCCTGGGTCTCGGGATCAACATTCTTGTCGAGCTTCTGCTTGAGAGAAGACTTGGCGGTCTCGTGGCCGGCAGCGACGTTGGCGTCGCGGGCATCACCAGAAGAGGGAGCAGCAGCAGACTTGACATTTTCGGCAACCTCCTGAGCATCCTGCTTGGCGTTGCCCTTATAGAAGCCCTGGGCCTGCTTTTTGAGGTCTTCCTTGTTCCACTTAGGGGCCTCATGCCAGGTATTGTCCTCGGCAGCCTGGTCAATCTGGGCGAGATCATCTTCCGATGGGCGGACGCGACCAGCAGCGTTACTAGCGGCATCGCCAGCAATGTCACGGAAGAGGACAGTCGAGTCCTTGAGCAGCTTGCGGAATTGTCCATTGGTGATGAGCAGGGTTCCAAGGGTTCTCAAACCCTGAAGGGCTTCCTCGCCATCCTTCTCGGCAGAATCTTTGCTGATGGGAGCCTTGGGGCCCTGGACGGACTTGGCGTCAAATTGTGTGGTCTGCCAGATGAAGTCCTGGATGAGGTTGCCGTCATTCTTGGAAAGGACAAGGTTCTTGGCGAGTCTGATGACCTCGCGGGTGTCCTCAATTAGGAGCTTGCCGTCGGCGGAGAGTTTGGTGGAGGGCTTGGAGAGGGCGGGTGACTGCAAAAAGCTGTTCAGAGCGACATCAATCTGGTCATTCTGTGAAACTGATCAGTAATTGAAGGCGCGGTCGTCTGACTGGCGCTGAGGCGACTTACGGAAGGGACCTTGCCGGCCTGGAAAGCGCGGAAGATACCATAGACCTGGAGTTTGCGGTTGATGTCGGCATCCTTCTCCTTGATGTTGGTAGGGCGATTGACGTTGGCGGTAGCCATGATGGGTAACAACTCCTGTTCAACGTCCTTTTTGTTGATTCAAGATTTTAATTTGATGAAATCAGATGCTTCGGCCTATTCAAAGGTGAAGCGAGAGGCGGAAACGTTAAGACAGCGTTGTCGTTAAAAATTAGGATGAGGTATTGCTTTTGCGGGTATCTTCTTCTGGGGGTATCACAATCGAGGAGTCGTGTTTGGGGTATTAGAGAAGAGGGTATACAGAAGAAAATTTGATAAAGAGAGAAGAAGAGGGGGGGCTTGCAGCGAAACGGCAGCCGAAGGGGTGTTTATACCAGAGCAAGAGTTGAGCTAGCTGGGGGTCGAGCTGGGAAAGCTTGCTCGGATGGTGACGTTGGGCGGACACGGTGGGTACGTCATAGCAATCGAGGTTGGAAGTACAGCGCAGCCGCTGGTCTCAGCATTTGGGAGGGGAGGGGTGGCCAGAGCACTTTGGACAGAGCTAGCCAGGGCAGTAGAAAGAAAAGGTCTCGATCTGGTTCTTACACTGGAGGGGCATTGTCAATGCTGGTCGACTAGACGCTTGCAACATTGGAAACCAGGAACGCATTCATCGGGCAGACCACCAGCATGGATCGACGGAAGAGAGGGGGGTGTGGCTAGTGTTGTACTGCCCTAGTCAAGCCATAACCATCGTGAGCTGTGTTTGCTGTGTTTTGCAGCGCTGTGCAAGCTTTTCTGCTGGTGTTGGCTGACGATTGATTCGAGAGCGCTGGGAAATTGATAGTGGGTCGTTGGACTCGCTTCTTATGCAGAGCACTTGCCGTCGATCTTGGTGTCGCGGATGGAGTCAGCCACAATAGCAGTTGCTGGTCACTGCTGTGAAGCTTGCAAACGATACTGAAAGCAGCCTGCAGCTGAGACGATTGCGCAGCTACCGTCGGCCACCTTCGGTTTATGTTTTGTTGAAGGAAAAAAGAAAAGAAAAAAACTTCCTGCATCCAAGCTCAATCATTCTCGATTCCTTCAATCAGACTATTTCTTCATGCACGCACTCAGTGGTCGAGTAGTCGCTCGCCATTGCTCTCAAGATGCCCTATACGGTGCATTGCCTGGGTGATGTTCAACCCCACATTCATAGACCAGCAAGCGAGCAAATGGGCCGACGGTCGCTGTGAGCCAACTATGCATCCAGTTCAAATTAAGTTTTCAGTACCAGGACTCTCGTCGCCGAAACTGTACAGTCATATGTACTTGAGACGCTTGTGCATTTGGGTATTTGACGTTGCTGTCTTCCGCTGGCCCTCCAACTGTGCAGGGGTTGACGGCTTGTCATTGTATCTTTTCCTCGTCTTTTGGAATTACCAATGCCATGTCTGTATGTAAACAAAGGGATTGAGTCATCCCCAGGATCTCACTGATTGATATCCTATCTGATTGATATCCTATTCCTTTTCTGCCTTTGCTATCCCTTTTTCTCTTGATGGCAACAGAACTCGCACCATTACCCTGACTCAAGTGCCCAACACTAAAAGTCATGACGTCAACGCGAGTTCGAGCATTGGTGAACCTTAGCCACACCCAGGTGCCAGTCCGCGGCAGCCTACCAACATCGCAATACAGCAGCTGCACCAGCTGAGATTACTTGTCGAACTAGTTCAACCCAATTGTTCAATTTACTCAAAGCCCGCCTAGAAAGAGCCTTTGCTAGCCACGCTAGTATATCTTTGTCCCAAAACATCTCCTCTAGTGACTGTGCTAGATGCGTCGGCAGCGCCCTGGCCGGGCCCGCCAGAAGCTTGGATGGGTGTGGCGGTGCAATCTCCCTTCGCTACTCCACCCGTCGGGACACGTTCTTTCCAAAAAACCAAGTCTTTGCTTGATACATGCACGCCCTTGTCCGAATGCGCTTGCCTCTCTGTCACGGACACCGCCGTATTCACAGACAGCAAACATTAGCATTTTCACTACCTCTGTTGCTTGACGAATCTCGATTTCTTTGTTTCCTTGCCCTCCCTTTCCTGGCTCATTTCACCACGCGTACGCGCTTGCTTCTCTGGACGGCTTGTTGTCACATCACATCTCCTTTTCTCTTTGTTTCTCCTTTACGCCCTCTTGGTGCATAGAAGATGTTGCCGTCGTGCTTCGCCTGTAACAACAAATCAATATTCCCCATTCAAAACTCGTCCATCCAAGCCCAAAGGTGTCCACACAACCATTCCTTCCAACTCGTGGTGCATGTGAAGACGCCTCTGGCCCACCACGCTTCAGCACGACAGGGGAGCCACGGTAATGAGAGCATGCCCAGCTTAATTCTGCAACGCGCAACCGCCGCACTGTCACACAATACGAAGTATTGCTTCGTTACCATCAGCCTGCACAATAATCCAAAGCTCGTTTGGAAATTTTTAGTTTATACTCTCCAAAGGTCTGCACATAGACAACTACCTGGAGCAGTAGCTTCACCTACTTAACCACACGGCGTTTGGCACATACCCCGTAACTAACTAGTGCTCCATGCTCCCCAGCGTTCATCAAAACCATACTCCGTACGATGAATGCGAGAATCCTTTCGCTTCACGATAAGCCTATCCAGGACCCCCTGGTATTGTTCCACTGATCTATAATTACGTGATAACGTACGGATACATACCTGAACCACCACTGATCAGGTTGACAGCATCGCAAGGAGCCATGCTCTTCGGCATTCCGAATTCCGCGGCCATGCTTGCTTTGCTATCATTGGCTCTGCAATTCCATTGCGTCCCAGATTGATAAATCAAGGGGCCAGCAACGCCAAGCTACAATCGCCATGCAGTCAGGAACACGACTTTCTTGCCCCTGAAATCTCTCCATCAGCGACGCTCCCAGAAGATATCACACTTTCCATTCTAGCACCGGTAACATAGGCCGAAAAATCGGTCTCGTCCAAAATAAAAAAGACACAGGTAGATAAACACACGAACACACACACCCTCCTTGCCTCCCCACAGAGATTTTCCTCGCTAAACCACATGCAATTGTGGCGCACCAGCCCCATTTCAGCCACACTGGGCAACGATTGACATGCAAGGAAAGCCACGCACCTTTGCATTGGCTGATGCCATTATGATGCTTGGACTCGCAACGGCTTCTTTGCGTTATATGACGTAGCCATCACGACAAGATCGCGTAGTCAGTGTGCAATACATGCTGCAATACAGGCTGCAATACATGATGCGATATACGCTGTTTCTGGCACGCCCTGGTTTTCTTCCCACTCTTATCTTAGGCAAAGGGGTCCTCTTTCCCTCCGTTGCGCCCTCCCGCATTCAAGGTAGCACACCACTTGCAGAGCTTTTGCTCTGCTGCACCCGTGTGTAAACATGTCTAGCAACAGTTTTGAAGTGTAGAGTAAAATCGGAGGAACTGGTGGTCAACTTCAGATGACCATATGGCGTAGTCTCGTTCAGTTGGCCTTTGCCATGTGTGCATCATACCCAGATCTTTGGCTGTAGTTGCGTCTTGCACGTAAACGTGCAATGCTAGTAGTGTTTTGGCGTCCAAATCCTTAAAGATACCCAATTAGGCGTATCGAAATTCTGTCAGTGGAGGATTGTCTTGCCCGTTCAATTACCAACCCCGTGCCCCCGCTTTGATTGTTTTCGCTGGCAGAGGACACACGCAGATCATGACTTGTGCTGTCGTGTTAGCATCCCGAGCGCATGCAACACGTCACACCCACGACATTCAGGTACACTCAACACGTTCGACAGGACCATCACAATGACGAGCTCAGGTGCCACGTGTCGTCGCAACTTTTCTACAGAAATTGAGCTCAAAAGCATATGCTCCGCAAACTCCGATCCTCTGCCCTAGCGCGCCTAGTTTGCCTTCTACCGTTGCCTCATACTGCTGCAGCGGCGGCGATTCGTGTACAACGGCTCCTGGACGATCAAAATAGTCTGCAAGTGCCACTCGCTCGCGCAACTGGACCATCACATCCAAGGACTTGTCTGACGCAGTCATATCCACAAATCCAGCGCAACAATGCATGTCGTAAATGGATTTCGTTACTGCTATCATCAGCTCTAAGTCTGCCTTTCATGTCACTCTTCATGTACTGTTTTGATCCCCCAAGTCGTTGAAAAGAGAAGCCTTGACGCCAGTAGCCAGAAATCCAGCTTTTTCCTTTGCTGCAATCATGCTTGCCTCGCTCGACAGCTTCTGCATCGCCTTGTCCCCAGCCTTGCTTCCACCACCACCACCACCCATTACCAGCATCTGCGATCCGCGTCCACGCCTAATCGCCGTCGTAGCCTCCTTAATTCTGGATGCGAGGTCAAGCATCTGCTTGTTTGCAAAGTCACGATTCGTAAGTAGAGGGTTCTGACTTAGCGTCTGTACCCAGTACTTGTGCCATAATAGCTCAAGTAGATGTGTGTCGAGTGAACTTTTAAAGTGTGACACTTCAAGACTGTAATATCGACCCGAGTGCGCGCCAAATTCGGCTGCCTTGTCAAGTGGCACGGCCTGAAACCCATCCGCACCGGCTGCATCGGCTTTGTATGTCGCTGGGTATGTACGGAATGCTCCAATGTCGACCTTGCCAGCACTGATTGTGCGATCAGGGTCCACGACAACGGCCAGGAACGGGTCCTGGAATTGCTGCTGCATAGCCTCGGTCTCGACATCGATACCACTCAGCCAGCAGCCGTACCCAGGATGGCTGTGGTACCATCCGACAACATTTTCTTGGCGGCCCTGCGCACGGCAAAGATCCAGATACTCGACAATATATTCGTTCGCTTCGCCCTGGGCATTGACACGGGTCTCAGTACCCTCGACGGGGAGTCGGAATGCGTCGGTGACAACAAAGGTGTCGCCTTCGGTGTAGCCTTGCATCAGGCCCATGATTTCGAGATTGCCGCCAGAGCGGGCATGCATCGTCATCTTGATGAGTGCAACAGCACTTATGCGGACATGCTTGAAGTAGTTAGGGTCAGCCATCCACGGCCGGGCGTTTTGCGCAGCCTTTTGTGCTTCTGCATCGTACTGGTACAGAGCATCTCGCTTCGTATCGATGAGTTTAATGTTGTTATCGAGCTCTGTTCGCAGTTAGTATATGTAGATTGACTCAAGGCACATGCTGAATTACCCCATGACCTGAGAGCCGTTTCCATCTTGACTGCGTTTGCCGTCAAGACGGATGGCGATGTAGGATGTGAGTTGGGAGTTAGTGTTGCCCCGCACTAGCTTCGCTGCCTACAGTTATCGATAGTAGTCGGTGCTTCACTTGCAATCCGATGAACAATGAATTTTTGAATTAGATTTTTTTTCACAGCTCACGACCTAATTCAGAAATCGGCCAATCGAATGAAATAAAGAAGAAGTTTTGATAATTGTTGGCGAATGCTGGAGCACTGTGCTGTCGTCTGAGATCCTGGCCGTCAATCCAGGGCGGACTGGCCACATTCTCCCAAGCTCCTTCTACTTTCTCCCAAGATCCTACCTACGGCATCATTTCCAAATCTGGCGCCTGTGTGCCATCGAATGCCTTTCCCCACGCACAGACAAATCGCAAAAGTGTCTTCTCGTCACCGTTCTTCGATAACGCAAACATGCCGTATGGCTGCCCATTCTTCCTCCAATTGCCCAGGGGCACAGTCGCACAAGGCCAACCCGCGCAGGCAGCATAAGTGACAAGCTGGCACTCTGACGATGAGAGTACAATGTCAAGGTCTCCGTTGCGACGCATGATATCTGATATGCCGTTGTCACCAGCCAGATGGCGGAGACGTGTCACTATGTCCTGAAGCATTTCGGGCCGCATCTTGCTATTGGCAGCGGCAATGAGCTCGGTTTGCGTGTCATATGCTAGAGCATGTCAGTACATCATCCCTCCTCTCATCTCGAGAGAACGAACACTTTAGAAGTTCACGTACGGAGTGGTAATGCCGTGTCGGCATGAGCATGATTCCAAGCTATAATGTCTTTCAAATCTTCGATGCCAGCGTGTTCGAAGCAACCAATAAATTCTTTGACCTGGTCGCTGAACTCACCATCTGCCACAATTCGATCAGAAAAGCCGAATCTTGAAGGAGAGCGACTTGCATATGACTTACAAGATGTACTTATCAGGGTGTCCCGGCCATACTTTATGCTGTCGGGCTCCGGAGCTTGCACAGGATATACCACACGACCCCCTCGGCCTCGCATTTTGGACACAGCATTCTCATACTCCTTGATCTGATAACGCAAATGTCAAAAAATGTCTTTTTATTTACGATTTCAGAGGGTGCACTCACCACTCGGGCGTCTCCCCATTTTTCAGCAACGAGACTCTCATGCACGCCCCAAGTGCTTGCGACGACACCCACCGCGAGGCCGCGAAACTCTTGCCCTAGATGACCATCCTTTGGTAAAGCCGAAATGCTGTATCTGGGATTTCTTTGCATAATTTCAGATAGAGTAACAATGTCCGTTGGATCCCTTGCGATCGACCCAACACAGTCGTAGCTCTCGCTGACTCTGAACACGCCTTCCAATGGCACCGTCTTATACCCGCATTTGTACGCATAGATACCGCATAGGCTCGCTGGGTACACCAACGCGGCAGAAGTCTCCGTTCCAATGGATAGAGGAGCAAGACCGGCCGCAACTGCTACGGCCGAGCCCGACGAAGAGCCTGCAGTGATGGGCTGATCCTCTTCCCTCAAATTTCTTCTTCTATACGGGGACTTTGTTTGCCCACCACATGTACTCCATCCAGACTTGATGTTGTTGGACTTGAGACCGCAAAACTCCGTCATATTGGACTTGCCGAGGATAATCATGCCGGCCTCTTGTAGGAGGTCTACCAACGGGGCGTTGCGTTTCGCCGTCATGCTGGCAAATACCGCGGAGCCTACTGTTGTAGGCATACCCAGCTCGGGACCTGTGACTATAACATCTTTTAGGATAATTGGAATACCATGCAGCTTGCTCCGTAGGGCCCCTGGACGCGCACGGCGCTCGGCATCCAGGGCAGTAGCATGAGCGAACAGCTGCGTTCGCGGTCGGATGCTTAAGAGACAGTTGAGGCGGCTGTTGTATCGTTCAATACGACGCAAATATGACTTGATCAGATCCACACTGGTGATTTCGCCAGCAGTCAGTTTTGCCTGAAGAGCTGTGGCAGAGAGCTGATGAAGGCCTTGATCCATGGGACGACGGACTGGGATGAAGAGGGTAATCGTCTCGGTCTCGATATATGCCATGACCAGACCCCTGGACGTTTTCGAGACTTTCCTACTAAACACCTTTCTACGACAAGTGTTCGCCGCAGGAAAGAAGTCTTTTTGGTACGAGAAAGCGTTTTCACACAGAATCGAGGGCAGACAGAGGTTGCCAAACAAGCCGAGGTGGAAGAGAAAACGGAGAGGAACGAGAATAACAGATACGAAAAATTCACGACCAGGGATTTCAAATAAGTGGATGAATGTATGCCACAACTATACCGAAAATACATCGTTACATTGGCTTGATCGGGAACGGATATTGTGTATTGGAATTAGCCACTCACGCCTACAAGACACCAAACAGCGAAACATACTTTTTACTTTCATCCTGCAGTGAAGCCTGTCCGACTTTGAAGAATCCACCAGTTCCCTCGTCAAAACTTTCATTGGTTATCCTTGGCCGGATAAACGAAGAACCCCTCTTCTCGGAGCCTTACCTGCTTGGTTTGGCGCCGCGCTGCTGGCAAGTATTGTGTGCTCAGCTGCATCAGATCAAATCAGCAGGGTTCGAGGCTCGGTGGATCTCAAAATACATCTAACAAACGAGTTTTTCAGTTCTCTTTTAGTCAAATTGGTGTATGAGGTGCAGCGAGTCTCGAGAGATCGCGGTCAAACGCGGAGCAAACTGTGCACAAGAGAGCCAGGGAAGTTGCGGACGACATATCTCGCTGAAACTCGTAGGCCAGGGTTTATAATTGATCCTGAAAACTGTGAGGATTCACAAGCGGTTTACTCGGCCTGCATTCAGCGTCGGGCAATGTCCATTGGCCCAGCTAGAAGGGATGTAGATAGATGCATTATGCGCGTGCTGTGCACTTATCACCGAAGGTGGGCGAAGACGCGATGTGAAATGTACGCACGCCAGCAGGAGAAGAAGATATTTGCAGTATGTGAGCTGATGGTGGAATGTCTTAGTGGCTTGATGAATACGCTGTCGGCCATTTTTTTTTCGAAGTCATTTCGTGGGCGTTCGTCGCCTAGGTTCTGTACGTGCAGTTTGTGGTCAAACTCGATACTGCTGCTCGTCTATTTCACCAATCAGAGAATCTAGGACATTACTAAAGATTTCGCGGACTTGAAGACATAGATGCATGAAAATTGTGGAAAGTAATTATAAAAGAAATAGAACGAGTAGGAGCAGAATGATGCGTAGAATCAAGGGAGATGGGCATCTTGTGGACAACGGGGCCGGTAAGAGTACAGGAACGTTGTTTTAAAAATGACTGGCTATAACTATGTACGTCAAGTTGCTTTGTTTAGAAAAAAAAAGAGGCAAAATGGTATCGTGATGCTAGGCCGCCAGTTTTGCAACCGCGGCATGTAATCCAGAGCCAAGGCTCACGGAAGAAAAGAGATTGTATCCAAAAAGGAGAAAGAAACCTGTGAAAACCATGAAAAGAGGCAGCGAAACAAAACACCGAAACAATGTAAATGCTAGTCCAGAAAAGAAAAAAAACAAAGACCGTTTTCAAGCAGACTTCAAGCAAGGTGGCAAGTGTTGTTGATTCCCAATTGCCCTTGATTGCTGAACCACAACCATAACCAAGTCTCTCTCTCGCCCATGCTGCTATTCGTTCGATTGATAATAATAAAACAACCTCGTTTGGGGCGGGCCTCGTGTGTGCCGAATCCACATCACAGCATCAACGCCAACGCGCAAGCTCGCTGAGGTGCTGCGTATTGCATGAGATGGATTCCCTGGGACGGGACAAAAGGAGACCTCGCTTGAAGCGGGCCCTGATGTGACATGATAATTTAGCGCTACCGCTGCAAAGAGAGAGACGGCGTTGTGTGAAAAGAACAGAATGAGGGAAGAGAGAAAATGCCGTCTTCAAGTTTCCGGCCTTCCTATTTCGGAACAGGGCGGCATGCAGCCCAACGCACGCCTCATTAATATGACAGCTTCCACTATCATTCGCCCAAAAAGCTGCAACAGGACGAGAAGAAGAAAAAGAAGGACGGAACTTTTCCCCTCTCTACTGTTGCAGCGATGCCCTCCCTACATCCCTCCTCACAGGCTTGAGAGGTTTTTTATTGGGCGGATTGAGGTGTGCGAGCCTAAGGATGCAGAGAGAGCGGGGTTGCGAACCCGACGTGCTGTACTTATTTTTTTGACGCTTTTCTCCTGGTTCCAATTGGTACCGCGGACACAAATATTTCGTCGTCGCGCCGCGGTTACCGAGCCTCTGGCAAGATTCCAAAAATGCTTCCATGGCCCGAGCTTTTCTGGATGCAACGATGCATCATGTCTCCCGAGGGCTAAAATGTTGGGCTAGGGACACACACCAAAGGCCCGTGGTCCCGAAACGGTGGTATCCGCATCGCAGGGGGCCAATGATGCAAAAGTGCGAAGCAGCCCCAATGGAAGATGCCGAAAAAACGCCCTGTGACGTGGCAGTCCTTTTCAGGGTCTGGTTCTTGCGAAGCGCGACAAAAGAAAATTTTGACCGTGGCCCACTGTGGGAGCGATTGGCCCGGCTGGCCTGCTGGCCTATGACTTTTGATCCTTCGCTTTCCATTCTTTGCTTCTTCATTGCTCGTAGGTAATGGGGATCCACCTGGTTGGAACCCCGTTGGGCCCGACGTCTTGGGCGTCGGCCGACTTGATGGGTGCTTTGCGAGGCGGCAGAACCCAGCGCGCGCGGCCCGGCTTGCGATCGTCGAGCTTGCCACGCTTGCGCATAGCCATTTCCATGACGGCGATGCGAATGAAGTCGGGATTCTCGCGAATCTCTCGCTGTCGCATGGCGGCGGGGAGCAGGCCCTTTGGGTGCTGGGGCTGATGGTGGCCCGATTTTGGAGCGGGGCTGCTGCTGCCGCCACCTGCACCACCACCGAGGATGCCGGTACCAGTCGCGCTGGCTGCAGGCGGCAGGGCTGATGAAGACGGAGGGTTCCACGAGGGCGCGACGCGGGCCCGGTGCACCTTGTACGTCTGCATCTGGATCGACGTCAGGCGAGGGCGCTGCGGCCCGTCTTGGGGCTGGGCTTCGAGAGGCCGCGTCGTCGGGTTGAGGTAGCGGCGCAGCTCGGCCGAGGGCATCTCCTCGGTGACCGGAGGGCGGCGCTCGTCCGTGTAAGGGACGTTGGGGTCAATGGTCAGGATGGAGCGGGACAGCAGGTCGTCGGGCGGAAGGGCGGGAAAGTTGATGCTGGAAAACGATTTGGCAGCGGATCGCAGGGCGCGCAGCGAGGCCGTCAGGTTGGACTTGAAAGCGGCCTTGAGCGGCTTGAAGGGCTCGCTAAAGACGGACATGGGTGGCTCCTCAACGGGCACCGACACAATGGGATGATACTCGTCCTCGTCAAGTCCGAGGGACAGCGGGTGCTCGTCGCTTAGAATATGCGGAGGCGAGCGAACTGGTTCGAGAGACTTGCGCGCCGGGCTGCGGGTGCGTCTTGGGCGGGCAAAGTAGGGCGATGAGTCAAACGAAGACGCCGGGTCGGTGGCGTAGCTATCACCCAACGACGGGACCGAGTCACAAGAGACGGTGTGCCGTAACGGGAAGCCATCAGGGCTTTCGCAAGTGCTCATGTCATCTTCCGTTGGCAGCTCGTCTGGCGGCGACAGTAACAAATCCAGAGGGCTGCCCGTCAGCGAGAAGCTGAGTTCCTTTTCCGAGACGTGCTGGTTCTGGACGATGTCCTGGACGGTCAGAGACTTTTCAAATTTCCGTTTTTGCCGTACTGGTTGGCGGTGACGGGGAATATCGGTCATGGCCAGAAGAGCCGCAACCGAAGGGGAGACGGCGTCTGGCGAGTGGACATCGCGGGCGGTGCGCTTGCTGCGCTGCGAGGCATGGTGTTTGTCGCGGTTGGTGCCTGTGCGGCTGGACTGGCGAGGGATCTGGACGGGACTGCTGGTGGATGTTGGAATTTTGATCTGTCGGGAGGAATCGACCGTTTTGGTAATTGAGGAGCGTCGTTCACCACGGCCTTTGCTCATGGTGGTGGCGCTGGCGTTGTTATTGTTGTTGGCCTCGCTGTCGTCCGACTCTGAGGCGGTTGACGAAGAGGACGAAACTGCAGCGGTGGTGACTGTGACGGAGGCGTCCAACTTGCAGTCGGCATACTTGGCGTGCAATAAGAGGGAAGAGACGGAAGTGGCTGTATCGACTAGGGTGAGGAGGGTGGAAGAGGGTCGGGGAGGATGATTACTTGTACAAGTACTGATAGGAGGAGTTGGGCGGCGAGGCGGATGTCTGGTGGACCACCAAGAAGTGTGAGCCATGACAATGACGGGGGATGGGATGGAGCTTTTGCTGGAGCTGGCCAGATTAGCTGGGCTGACTGGGGAGTGTTTGGCAGCGGACGGCAGTGTGGTGGGGGCATGCTTTTCCAGTGAATGGGCCGCCTACAAGGGGCGCTGTAACCTTCTGCAAGTCCGCTGTAACCTTTTCGCCGACCGCTGCAACCTTCTGTAAGCTCGCTGTAAGCCCGCTGGTGGCAGATCCCCCTGTAGCGGGTTTTGGTGTGTCACGGCAGTGGAGCCGTAGCTGGCGAAGACTCTGCCCAACGTGCCAACTGCCTCAACAGGCAACCTCTCTCTGGCCGCGCTAGCAAAAGTGCTATCTGGCCCCTAAAGTCCGGTCTGTCGGTGCAAGTCGGTGGCTTTCCCTCTTCTCTCCCGCTGGTGCCGGCGAATAAGGCAGGCCACAATGTTGCGCCTGCACGTATTTGCAGAGGCCGAGCCTATGCTACCTTATGGCCGGGATCGCTAACAAAGTTGCTGAGAGGGAGAGGGCCCGCAGGGGAAAAAAAATAACAAAAAGACGCTGATCAGGGTCTTAACGGTATACTGCACCACCTAGACAAGCAGGGGGAACCGGGGGGGGGGGAGGGGGGAGGGGG